TGTCTGCACACCAGAAGAGGGCATCAGATCCCATTATAGATGGCTATGAGTCACCGTGTGGTTGCTGGGAATTGAACTCTGGACCTCTGGAAGAGCAGCCAATGCTCTTAACCTCTGAGCCATCTGATTATTGTCCATGGAGTAGAGGGAAATATGCTGCATGTTCCTAAGTTGGCGCCAGTTTTTCTTGGCCTTATGTGTATAGGTGTTGTGATTTTTGTACTACTCAGTACTCAGCTCCTCTGTCTCAAGATTGCTGAGAAAAGCCTCTCCTTAATGCAGCCTGCTTGTCTGTCTGTTGACAGCTCAGTGCTCTGATTATTGTAGTTTTAGTGTTTTGTGTATGTTAGGCAAGCTTTTATTTTCTTAGTTAGCCATTGACTTCAACTACTTTGATAAAACAGATTTGTAATATTCATTACTTATTTTTCCTCTGGCTGTGATTAAATAAAAATCTGACACGCAAGCTAAGGGAGAAAGGGTTGCTTCTGGCTCACAGACAGATTTACAGTCTGTTATGGTAGGGAAATCAGGGCCACAAGCAGGTGAAGTAGATGCTCCTGGTATCCAGTCAGGGAACAGAAAATGATGACGAAGTGCTGATTCTCAGGTCACTGTCTTCATTTTCTACAGTCCAGAATCCTGTACCTAGGGAATGATCCTACCTGCATCAAGGTGGATATGCCTACACCAATTAATGTAATCAACATGGTCTCTCAGAGACATTCCCAAAGGCTAACCTCAGTCTAGATAACCCTCATGGATGCACATGGAGGCATGTCTCTTGGATGGTTCTAAAGTCTGTCTAGTTGGTAATTAATATTAACCATGATTCCAGCCCTTGTCAACCTGACACCCAGACTTATCACCACTTTTAAACTATAACCTTCCACACCTTATTTCCATAGACTGATGACCATGTTATAATGTAATATGCATTTATACCAACAGCAAAACTCCCCTTAGTCATTAAGCATGTTTAAACAATTTGAGATTCCAAAGTTTCTTAACTCCTATGAAATGAAAAACAAGTTCCATAATCCAATATATGCATTTATTATTTATTTTTCTTTTATGTGGAATAATGTTTTGTCTGCATGTATGTCTGTATAAAGGTGTCAGATCCCCCTGGAACTGGAGTTACAGACAGTGGTGAGCTGACATGTGTGTAGAGTGCAGCCTTCCTGTCAGCCTGGTTCCAGAGCTGCATCAGTCCCAAATGAACACACAGGAGGCTATATTAATTATGAAGCTGTTGGCTGTTTGCTTGTTTCTTACTGGCTGTCTCTGACTTAAGTATTTAACCATAATTGTTAATCTAAGTATTTCTCTTACCGGAGAAAGGGCATGGACCTTTTACTTCTATGGCAGCTACGTGATGTCTGCTTGTGTCTTTCTTTCCCAGAATCCTCCTCGACTCCTAGTCCCACCTATCTTGCTTCCCTGTTGGCCACCAGTGCTTTATTGACATATACACAGGACTTCCCCACCACATGTGGGTGTTGGGAATTGAACCCAGCTCCTCTGGAAGAGCAGCCAGTGCTCTTAACTGCCATTTCTTCAGCTCCGCATAATTCTGTAGCACTAATAATAAAAACCCAGAGACAGCTGGCAAATAGCTCTTGCCTCTACCTTAGATTGAAAGGGCTGTCCTGTCACCATGAATCCTCAGAGACAATGCTATCTCCATGAATCCTCAGAGGCAAACACACTCCGTTCCTGTCTTTTCCTCCTTATATTCCTTTCCCTTCCCAGCTACATCTCTCCTGTTCCACCTCCGTAGTGCTGGGATTAAAGATGTGTGCCACCACTGCCCAGCTCTATGGCTTGTTAGTATGGCTGCTGAGATTCAAGGTGTGTATCACCATTGCCTGACCTCTATGACTTGTGGCTAGCTTTGCTTTCTGAATCCTCAGGCAAGCTTTAATAAATTATAAATAATATATCACCACATAATCCCAAATATATAATGGCCCAGAGCAAACATTCCTCTTGTAAAATAGAAGAATTGAGGCAAGTCATGATTGGACCAAAGTAAGATGCAAATCCAGCCAGGCAAGCACCAAATCCGACATCCGTGTGCCTGACATGTAAATCTGATGAGTCTGTCTATACTCCAAAGGATGTGTATCCCCACCACCCCAGAGCCGCCGCCTGCAGCTCATACAGTCTGGCTCTTCTCTGTGCCTAGAGCTGTTCTTGGTGGATAGCTGGCGTCAAGGTCATGGCAGCTCTGATATCCTGTAGTCTTCAGTGTCACCTAGATGTCACTTTCAGAGCTCCACACAGTGACTTCTGGGGCCTACTTTGCAGGAACTCTGACTCTCCTATACGGCGCCTGACCTCAACTGTCCTGTATGACCTCCCTATCTTACATCCTTCATTCCTTCAAAACTAGTACCACATGGATGCCAGTGCCCAGTTTTACTGCCACCTCAGGTTGGAGCCTCTGCTTTTGTCATCAGGCCATCTTTCCTTTTGTTCCACTGCGCCCCAATAGGTTTTTCTCTAGTGACACTGAAGTTTTTATCAATTATAGCTGCTCTCAGCATTGTTTCTTAAACGTCCACAAATATGGCCCATTAGTAGAGAGTTGGTGGCGCACGCCTTTAATCCCAACACTTGGGAGGCAGAGGCAGGTGGATCTCCGTGAGTTCGAGGCCAGCCTGGTCTACAGAGTGAGTTCTAGGACAGCCTCCAAAACAATACAGAGAAACCCTGTCTCGAAAAACCAAAAAAAAAAAAAGTATATATACATACATACATACATGCCCCATTAAACCCTGCTTTTGGCATTCAAGGGTTTTTCTAACCCAAATACAAAGTTTTTCCATGTTCCTTCTACAAACAGTGCCTAAGATGGTCATGTTTATCACAAACAGCCCCAGGGTAGGGTACCAGTTTTCTCTTCTTCTTGGTTGCTATGATGAAATACCCTGGGGAACATAACTGGAAGAAGGGTTGACTCCGAGATACATGGTAGGGATGTCAGTATGTCAGGAACTTGGATCAACTGCCCAGGTGACCCACAAACAGGAAGCAGCACGTGGCGAATGAATGCTGATGCTTAGCTCCTTCGTTTTCTACCGTTCAGGATCCCCCCTGCTCAGGGAGTGCTATTACCTACACTTCAATGCTTGTTCCCACATCAAATAATATAAACTAGATAATCGCAGGTGTGCCAGGGGCTTGTGTCCTACCTACATGATTGTAATTAACATTAACCATCACCGTCCTAAAAGCTTGTTATAGAAAGTACAGAATTTTGTACATACATGTCTGTGACAGGTGACATTGTGGCTAGTGAGAACTACTTCCAAAACATGTGGCATCCTTCTTGTTTCATTGTCTACTGACATTCTCCAATAAAAAATTGTAATGATAACTTATTAGTACGATGAATTGCCCATAATCAGCCCTGTCTTATGTTGTGTGTCTAGTTGCTGTGACAGAATTCCTAAGAAGAAACGTTTTGTTTTTAAAGATGTATTTTGTTGCGTGCGTGTGTGTGTGTGTGTGTGTGTGTGTGTGTGTGTGTGTGCGCGCGCCAAAAAAGAGCATTAGATCCTCTGAACTGGAGTTACAGATAGTTGTAAGTCATGTGATGTGATTAAACTTTCTGTTGCTGAGGTAAAATACTATAGTCAAAAGCAACCTGGGGAGGAAAAGGTTGATTTCAAATCACAGTTCCACATCATAGTCCATCACTGAGGGAAGTTGGGACAGGAACCTGCAAGCAGAAATTGATGCAGAGGCCAGGGAGGAATGCTGCTGTCTTGCTCCCCATGGCTTGCTCTGCTGACCATTCTTACCGCATCCAGGACCAACTGCCCAGGGCTGGCACCATCCACAGTGAGCTGGTCCCTTCCACATCATTCATCAATCAAGACATTATACTGTAGATTTGTCCGTGGACCAGTCTGAAGGCAACATTTTTATTATTCATTTATTTTTTTTAAGGCAGGGTCTCACTATATAGTCTTTACTGTCCTGGAACTCAGTGTGTAGACCAGACTGGCCTCAGACTCACAAGAGATCTGCCTGCCTCTGCCACTCAAGTGCTGGGATTAGAGGTGTGCTCCACTATACTCAGTACTGGGGGTAAATTTTCAATTAAAGTTACTTTTAGCTGGTGTAAAATTGACCTAAAACTAGCCAGCATACTGGTCCCCTTAAGAGCAACAAGTACTTTTGATCCCCAAGCCATCTCTCTGGCTCCCTTAAGAAGAATGGGGATGATAACCTATTTTGACTTATAGTTCTAGGATGCAAAGCATCATGGCTGGAAGTCATTGCAGCAAAAGCTTGAGGTTTCTCATCAGGAACTAGTTGCTGGTTCTCTAATCCGTGTGTTCTCTGAATACATTGGTTTCTAATCTGTGTCTGGTGAGCACTTAAAAAACATTACAGGAATTCTGAGAGAAAATAGATACTGTAAGAGTAGCTAGCTTGTGATTAATATCACCCATTGGGAAAGCTACTTCCTTCTTTACAATTGGGGTGGGGAAGACTCCCTCTGAATAGTGGTTGCAGATACCAGAAGTAGAATTGTCTTGGGACAGCTGGTGTTGACTCATATGAGACATTAGGTAATCAGAATTCATTGTAAATGTTGAACAAATGTGCAAGGAGAGGTTAGCACAACATCTGGACAAGGATGGACCTATCCTGTTGTTGCTTTACCAGATGGCTCCAGTCTTCTGTCAGAACTACTGTGTGAGAGGTTTCTTTAGTGTGTGTGAAATGTAAGTGTGATGACCAAGATAGGACTAACCACATATACAACATTGAATCTTAGCAACTTTTTTTTTCATGACAGGGTTTCTCTGTGGTTTTGGAGGCTGTCCTGGAACTAGCTCTTGTAGACCAGGCTGGTCTTGAACTCACAGAGATCCGCCTGCCTCTGCCTCCAAGTGCTGGGATTAAAGGCGTGCGGTGAGATTAGCTGTCCAGTACTATGAAACTCACACTTCCTTCTGGAAATGTGTGTGTGCTTTTAGGAGTCAGTGACCTTTGAGGATGTGGCTGTGAACTTCTCTCTGGAGGAGTGGGCTATGCTGAATCCATCTCAGAAGAACCTCTACAAAGATGTGATGCAGGAAACTTTGAGGAACCTGGCCACTATAGGTAAGTATGTCATCATTCCTTTAATTAGTCAATCAGAAAAGGTGCTTCTGAATGAGTGTGTTATGCTATGGTAAAGAAACATTAGGTTATGTGTGAGATGGACTTTTTTTAAAATTATTATTTTATGTGCATTGGTGTTTTATCATGGGTGTCCGGTTCACTGGAACTGGAGTTACAGACAGTTGTGAACTGTCATGTGGGTGCTAGGAATTGAACCGGGTCCTCTGGAGGAGCAGTCAGCGCTCTTAACCACTGAACCATTTCTTTAGCTCCCATGAGATGTATCACTTTTTTACTGTAAGTTTTGCTAGAATCTGTTAACATATTTACTGCGATGTCATAATTTATAATGATTTCACTTGGTTTTTGTTTTAGGAAGCAGTTTGGAGCACCATATCATTGAAAATATATACCGAAATTCCTGGAGAAAATTAAGGTAATAATAGACCTTGAGAAATAGCCATGGTCCTCAAGAGTGTGTGGTTGCACATTGTCCAAAGTAGCAAAAGGCACGTGTATATCCAGTTTCAAACTCAATTTCTCTAAGGAAATTTTCTTCAAAACTGGAGACATATTAAATATCAACATTCTAAAAACCTTATAAGGATTCCAGTACTGGAAATAACTGGAATATCTCGATGCCTGAAAATGATTTTTATCACACTTGATATGCTCCATGAAATATTGTTAAAATTTAAGTAATGATTTACCCACAAACCTTATGTATAAGATACACAACACAAAAAGCAGGTATCTTTTTAGGCTTGAACTAAATATAAAAATCTCATTGTGACCTTTCAAGTAGTTCAGAATGTAACATGATTTTGGTCAAAATTGTACAGTCTGAGAAGTGGATCTGTTGTTACTGTTTTACAAATCCACTTTTATTTATTTCTTCATTGATTTTGCTCTGTGAGGGGACAGGATCACTTGGATCCCATGTCTAGTGGCCTTTGCAGCAAGTCTTCTTCACAGTTTGGCAAGAAGCATGACACTGTTTCTTGGACCTGAGTTACCTTCCCCAAATAACTGTTGTTTTTGTTTCCAGGAGTCACTGTGCTGTTTTATGCACATAAGCACATCTCTTGTTTAAGTAGACTTTGGTTTCGTCTTGGGCATAAACTCCTTCAATTTTAAGAAGAATCATGTGCCTTCTTTAGTTGTAGGGACCTCACTTATTATAGCCAGCAAAAATGGCCTTGCACCAACAGCCTTCCAGACACACTTGCCTTTTAGAAGTCCTGTTTCTAGCAGGCCTTTTCAGGTCCCAAGAATTGATGGCCTCAAGAATTGAAATATATACTTTAGTGTGCCGTAAGACATGTTTGCTAGATACGTAGATGGTATAATACAGCCACCAGGGAATGCCACTGCTTTTGTTACAGTTGTCCTCAGAGTTGCTCAGAGCATTCAGTCAAATGCGTTAAAGTAGTCTTGACAGCAAGAACCAACATTTGTACTGATGAGCGTTAATACAATAGCAGTGATGCACGTTTGCTTTCTTGCAGTGGTCAAGCGGTGGAGGGACTCTATGACTATAAAGAAGACCATCAGTGTGCAGAACTCTTTGACTTCACTACACAGAGTATTGTAAACCAGAACCCTTTTCCAGGAGTACATATATGTGAAAACAGCGGATGTGCCAGAGTAGTCATTGGCCATTTGTCTCTAAGCGTACTCCTTAAACCTGACACAGAGCATGAATCCTCTGAAGATCGGGAATATGGAAAAGAATTGTGTAACAGTATGGAATTTGGGGCCGCCTCCAGCTCTGTCCCACCCTTTGAGCACTATGGAAGTACTTACACTCTAGAGAGACTATATAAAAGTGAGAATTGTAGTGAAGACTATAGGTATGGTCAAAATCTTGAAAAGGCTTTGGCCGAAGAGAAACCCTTTCAGTGTAAGCAATGTGGGAAAGGTTTCAGTTCTTCAAGGTACTTCCGAAGGCATGAGCGACGCCATCGTGCAAAGAAATCCTATATATGTAAGCAGTGTGGGAAAGCGTTTGCTTTTCCCACCTACCTACAAACACATGAAAGAATTCACACCGGGGAGAAGCCCTATGTGTGTGTGCAGTGTGGGAAAACCTTTGCTCATTCTCGTTCCCTTAAAACCCATAAAAGAACTCACAGTGTGAGGGACCTCTTTGTGTGCAATTACTGTGGGAAAACCCTACGCCATTATAGTTCTCTTCAAATTCATACAAGAATTCACACTGGAGAGAAGCCTTATGTATGTAAGCCATGTGGCAAAGCTTTCATCACTTACCGTTCCTTTCGAATACATGAAAGAATTCACACTGGAGAAACACCTTACGAATGTAAGCAGTGTGGGAACACTTTCATGCGTTGGATTCAATTACGAAAACATGAAATAATTCACAGTGGTGTGAAACCCTATGCTTGTAAGCTATGTGGGAAAAGCTTTACTTGTTCCGGTTCCCTGAGAACACATGAAAGAATTCACACTGGCGAGAGGCCTTATGTGTGTGACCAGTGTGGGTATAGCTTTACTCGGCTGAATTCGCTCTTAAGACATAAAATAACCCACACTGGCGAGAAGCCCTATGTGTGTAATCATTGTGGGAAAACGTTTCCTCGTTCTGCTTCTCTTCAGAGACATGTAAAAATTCACACTGAGGAGAAACCCTATGTATGCAAGCAGTGTGGGGTTGCCTTTGCTACTTCCACTGACCTTCTAGAGCATGAGCAAACTCACATTGATGAGAAACCTTACATCTGTGAGCAATGTGGGACTGCCTTTGTGCTTTGGAGCCAGTTTCAGAAACATAAAGCACTTCACAGCGTTCCAGTTTCCTATATCTGTAAGCAGTGTGGGAAAAGCTTCACGTCTTCCAGGTCACTGAAGACACATGAAAGAATTCACACTGGGGAGAAGCCCTATGAGTGTAAGCAGTGTGGCAAAACCTTCCTTTGGTCTTACTCCCTTCAAAGACATGAAAAAACCCATAGTGATGGGAAGCCCCATGTGTGCAAACAGTGCGGGCAAGCTTTCCCCTATTACAGTCATCTTCAAGTGCATGAAAAAATCCACATTGATGACGAGCCTTACAATTGTAAGTACTGTGGGAAACCCTTCTTCACTTTGAACCATTTGCATAGACATGAAGTGCTTCACACTACCCTGGATCCCAATGTTTTTTAATAATAAGAGAGAAAAAAACTGGCTTGGTAGCTTTCAAAGAAATAAACAAAACCACACCGGGGGAAGAAAACTGGATTTGTGCTAGCAATTCAGAAAAACCTTTTGTTTCGTTTCATTGAAACAAGCATGAAGCGCCACAATGGAGAGAAACGTGTTTTAAAACATCAGTGTGTAAGTGGTTTTTGCGCTTAGAGTTCCTGAAGTACATGAAAGCCACAGGCCTATGACTGCAGGTGATGCAGTGAAGCCCTGTGCACTCCCAGATCATGGAGCAGACAGGAGAGGGCGCTCTAGAGAAACTTCTTCCTTGTATATGTGCTCTTGTAAATAACCCCTCACTTCCTGCTCAGTCCCCCTGAACATGTGGAGGGAGTCACTCTGGAGAGTCTTCATTGTCATCCCATCCTCGCACAGACATGAAAGAACCTACTGTAAAGAAACCTTAAAAATAGGATTTGGGAACTCTTCGTTTTCATCCCATAGCACTCACGGGACTGTACATGGGGAGAATTCCTATCAACGGAGAACCGATATGAGCACCACTTGGTTAAAGTAACAGATAAGGAAAGAACCTGATAGGAAGTGCTGATTTGCTTGAAAGAGATGTTCCAGGTTTCATTTGGCACACATGGAAACACACCAGATGAAAACCTTTGCTGTTGAAAAATGATTGGAAGTCTAGAGCAGTAGTGACTGTAGGAAAAGTCCTTTGAGATCTTTTCATATTTAATCTATAAATGTCAGTGTTATGAAGGACTGGACATACTGGGTTTTTTTTTTTTTCCTTTCTTGTAGCATGCTCTAGGAAATGCCCACTCTGAAGAGAATGTTATCAGTACAGGATTTTGTATTTATTGGGAAATTTCAGAGGCTCTAGGGTGGCTTAGCCTTTGAGAGCATTTGCTGCTCTTCCAAAGGACCTGCACTTGGTTTTTGTTACCAGATCACAGGCCTCCAGACTGAATGTGACTCCAGTTTCAGGAGATCCAATTCTTCTCACACACATGTGACACAGATTCACATGTACACATAATAATACAATTTAAATTTTTCTCAAGTCCCCTCCCTTCAGAAAAGCTTTTGCTGTGTATCCCAGGTTTATCTGAAATTGGTGATCTTCCAACTTCTAACTCTGAATGTTTAATGAAAGGTGTCTGCTTCCACATTCACCATCATTAACTCCTGTTTCAGAGTTCATCTCTGGACTTGTTTCTAAATTGTAAAAGTGAGCCTAGAGCAGGGCACTGTGGAATGGCAGCTTAAACCTAGGAACTGGAGATCAGTAAGACCTACATATGAAAAAACTAGAAAGTACATTTTATTAAATTATTTTGTGAGGTTTCTTAAAGCAATCATGTATTAGTTTAATGAGTGGTGTCTTTTGTATCAAATAAGGTAGGTGCTTCTTTCATTGTAAATTATGTTGGATTCATTAGGGAATTGTTACTTGAAATGTGCCAGTCCGCAGAAATATCTTTAAAAAGCATTTTATTATGTATGTGTAAGTTTGAAAGAGAAAGAGATAAGAGAGTAGGTATGTACCAGTGGAAGCCTGAAGACAATGTTGTATGTATCCTTTAGAGCTGGCATTGCAGATATCTGTGACATGCTTGATGTGTGTGATGGAATCTAAATCATAATCATCATGTTAGAGCAGTAAACACTCTTAACTGCTGAGCCTTCCCTCAAGCCCCTGCATAAATGTCTTCTTTTTCAATCATGCTTAATGGGTGGTTAAAAATATGACTTTGTGAATTTTGGAATAGTCCTATTATTTTCATTTGGCTGATTTTGAGTATACTCTCATTTTTCATAAAAAAATCACTCATGAGTGCACAAATATGTATTGGGAACATTGTGTATGTGTTGATGGTATGGTTTATGTGTTGGTGGTGTTCACAAGGTGAACAAATTAATATATTGGGAGTCTTATTCTGTTGCTATGTTATTTCCCCAAGACAGGTCTCACTGATCCTGGAGCTGGGCAGACAGCCAGGAAAACTCAGTGTTTCTTGTCTCTTCCCTCCCTATGGTGCTGGGTGTACAGACACGGTCATTCCCAGATTTTTGTTGATAGGGAATAACACTCGAGTCCTCGTGAGTGCACAGCAAGTGCTTTTACCCACTCAGCAGCCTTCTCAGGCCTAAACTGCTTTCAAAGGGATTTTGTCTCTTGTGTTTGTGTTTTTCTCTGATGTGTTCTCATATCCTTGAGTACATGTTCACTCAACTTTGAAGTATTTTCAAAATGCTTTTAGAATAGCAAGCTTTAGGACGTGTTTAGTTTGTTTTTCCTATTCAGAAGGTAGGTATAAGAATATTGTAATCATAGATCAGAGCACTTTTCCAAGTTGGCTTAGTTTTTACTTTTGAGAATTTCATACATGTATACAATAAAAGATGGTCATATGTACCCACTATTTCTCCTTCCAACTCTCCCTATATTCTCCCTAATGCTCCCTCTTAATTTAGGTCTTTTAAAATAACCCATTAGTCTGGTTAATATTGCTCACACATACATGGGTATGGAACCACCCGCTGGAGGATGGGTGGCCTACCGATAGTTGTATCTCCACACCCCTGCAGCCATTCACTGCCGGGAGCTTCTCAGTAAGTGGTGGGGCCTGGAGACAAAATCTGTCTACTCCATCTATACTGGGAATTTGGCTTGTTTCATTTTATAGGTCTTGTGCATGCAGCCACAGTTGCTATGAGTTCATTCTAGTAACCATGTCAAAATAATAAATAGAAAGCCAGCGTTTGACAGCAGTCCTCCCCAACCTTTAGTTCTTGCTTTCCTGTCGCTTCTTTGGCTTTCCCCGAGCTTGGCGGTGGTAGTGATGAATGTAGCTGTCTCATTTACAGGTGAACATGCAGTCTGTCTTAGCACTTTGGCCAGCTGTGCGTCTCCACTGACAGCTGCCACTGTAAAAGGAAGCTACTCTAACCACAGCTGAGAGTAGTGAAGGTCTGTTGTGCCAAGAACTGAGGAGATGGCAGAAACTTGGGGGATTTTTGGAGATGATGTTATGCTATATAGCCTTGACTAGCTTGGAACTCTCTATGTAGGCCAGGCTGTTGTCAACTTGTGCTTAGTTTTGTTTTATGTTATAAACTGTTATCATATATATGTGATTATGGAATTTCCCTGTGTGAATTTTTCTTTTCATGTATATTTCATTCTCATTGTAATTTCTCTGGTAATTATACTAAAGGATAATACTGATATTACTGCCTTCTTGCCAAAATCTATATTCAATAAATTCTACTAACTCTCTCCATCCATGACAAGTGAGTGGCTCATCTGTAAAAGCATTCTCTGTAGAGTTTCTGACAGGTCTGATGTTTTATTTCAGGGGTCTTACAAGGATTGATTCTGTAGATAGGTGTCCCCTAATTTGGATGTACTGAGGGGCAAATGTAATTCTGCTCTTGTAATCACAATAGCAGTTACCAAGAAGACTGGAGTACTGGAGTAAAGGGGGATGTAATTCATGTGCTAGTCAGTCCATCAGAGAGTAGAAGGTACTTTGATGATTCAGAATGGTTTATGGTTTTTCAGCTTACAGATGTTCTTATAGAATGCCTTTCTGTTATAGTCACTAAGGAGCATTTCTCATTGGTGGAGGCTTGCAACATTTCCTTTAGTGGCAGAAAATGTGGTCTTGCTGTGTGAGGTGAACTATTTGGATTATTTTTGCATTTCTTAGTTTCTATATAAACACTAATGTTTAATATGATGGATGCAGTTATCCACATATATAGGTGTTCCTAGAGTTTCCATGGGATTACATTATGATAAGCCCATAGTAAAGTGAAAAATATAAGAAAAGCATTTTACACTTGACCTTTTAATCATCAAACCTTAGCCTAGTCTACACCAACATTTTTGGACCCACTTACATTTTCCTAAAGTTGGGGAAAGTTTCTTTTTCTTTACATTTTTTTCATGTTTTAGAATTGTTAGTGTGTATGTTGGCATGCTTAAGGTTTTGTCGTGACATTATGACCGAGGTTTCCACATACTTTAATGGTAATCACTGTCTCTTGTTCCCTTCCTTCTTCCCAGTGGTCCTGTTCTTCCTAATAAACTCATGGTTTCATCTCCCTTGTTTGTTAAAATCTGGATCCTGTTCTGTGTCCAGGGAGCATCATTTGGTACTTAGTGTCATTTATGTGATGGTTTCCAGTTCCATCTATTGTCTGCCAAGTTTCCTGTTAAGTTCTTGGTGAGCTAGTAAAGACTACATTTTATATATGCCACATTTAAAAAGTTTTAGTTTACCTATTGATGGGCACTTAGGCTGATTCTGTAATTGAGTACTATGAGTGTCTGAACCTATATACAAATATGCATAGTATGATTTGACTTAGATTCCTTTTGCTACACTTTAAACAGCACAGTAGAATCATAAGATAGTTATATTTTGAGTTCTTGATGAAACACTACTATTTTCTAGAGTGACCATGCTAACATACATTTCCAGGAATAGCCCTACAGTCTCACCAGCTTGTGTTTTAGTTTGGTTCCTTAATAGTTAATCACATTGAGGTGAACTTAATTGTATTGAGAATTTTCATGGTTTATTGGCTATTTGTACATTGTTTGAGAACTGATTGTTTCCCCGTGTATAGATTCAGTCATTTTGCAATAGAGTGTGTGTGTGTGTTTTCTATACATTAATCCCTTGAAAGATCAATGAGTATCCAAAGATATTCTCCCCCATTCTGTAACTTTCTCTGATAATTGTTTCCTTTTTCTGTGTAAAAGCTCTTTAGTGTCTTGCAATGACTAAATCCCATTTATACCCTGGATTTTTTGTTTATTTGTTTGTTTGCGTGTCTTTAACATTGCTTCTTGCTATGGAGACCTGACTGGCCTGGAGCTTGCTTCCCACGCCAGGTTGGCATCTAATTTGCAGCAGTCTTCCTGCCTCTGGTTCTGGGTGTTAACATTGTAATCATGGGATTCTAATACCCATTCCCTAGTTGCCATTCTTCCTGTCAATTATCATATTCAGAATGTCATTGTCTGTGCCCCTAGCTTCATGTAGTCTTCAGATTTTCCTCTATGAATTTCAAGGTTTTCAGGTCTTTGGTTCAATTTGAGTTGGCTTTTGTACAGAATGCTATAGGGATTTTGGGATGTTCTTGTATATAGGTACTGTTTTCCTTGTTGAAGAGGCCATTTATTTCACTGTACATGGTTTGGATGCCTTTGCTGAAGTTAGAAGGTTGTGGCTACGTGGTTGTTCTGGGACTGAGCTCTTCCATTGCTCTGCATGTCTGTTTTTAAGTTACACTGTTTCACTCGTAAGGCTTTATAGCATAATTAGTTGAGTTTTATAACCTTATTAGTTGAGTGTTGTGATAACTCTAGCATTGCTCTTTTTGCTCAGTGTTGCATTGACTATTTGGGGTATTTTGGTTTTCTTACAATTACAGGATTGTGTTTTCTATTTCTGTAGATAATGGCATTGGAGCTTTGATGGGGGTTGTATTGACGCTGAAGAGCACTTTACACTTTTTCATATTATAATGGTGCTGATTTGTGAGCATAGGACTGTTTTCCATTTTGCAGAGCCTTCAGTTCCTCAGTGTTTTTAAATTGTCATTATGTATTCCTTTCACCGGCTTGACTAAGTTTATTCATAGGTGAATTTGACTTTGTCTTGTAACTTGTTTCCTCGGCTTTTGGAAGATGATTTTTTCCTTAATTATTTTATCACCATTTTCATTGTCATGTAAATGGCTACTGATTTTTCTATACTGACTTTATTGTACTACTTTGCTGAAGTAATGATGACATGCAGAGTTGCGGCAGTTTGGGTCTTTTAAGAATATGACCAATCATAGGGGCTAGAGAGATGACTCAGCAGTTAAGAACCCTGACTCCTCTTCTAGAGGCCGGAGGCCTGATTGCCCTCACCTACATGGCAGCTTACAACTGTAACTCCAGTTCCTTGGGATCCATCTCACTTTTCTGGTCCCTGGGCACTAGACATGCACATGGTACACAGACATGCATGCAGGCAAAGCACCCATGCAATATAATAATAATAGCTTTTAAAGAGATGGGAGATTTGACCTCATTTCACTTCCTTTTTTCTTTCCTCATATTCAGGGTGAACTGAGGAGCTTGTGAGTGGCAGGCAGGTGCTAGACCACTGCTGGGTGGATCCTTTTCCTTTCTTTTCTCCTACTTCTCCAGGAGTTGTATATAGCAGTGTAGACAAGGTGAACCCTTTGTGTTATTCCTGATTGGTAAAACATTGTTTTAGTTTTCCTGTCTGGTATAATCTAGGCTCTAGTTTTGTCATTTATTACTTGTTACAATGACCTGTGTTCCTTTTCCTAGTTTTTTTTTCAGGCCTTTTTTTCAAGGGACATAAAACTTTGGACAAAGTCTTGCTCCATGTATTGAGGCGATCAGGGGATTTCAGTCCTTGAACATCCATGTTTTCTATTACATTTAATGATTTCTATCTGTGGAAACATGCTTATATATGAAGAATGGAATCAACCTGATCATAGTTTGTGGTATTTTTAATACATTGAGTTTGTTTTAAAGTATAATTTTGTGTTGTATGTATATGTGTGGGGGGGTATTTTTTTGGTTTGTTTTGGTTTTGTTTTTTTGTTTGTTTGTTTGTTTTGGTCTGTTTTCATCAAGGAAATTTGTGTTTTTCTGTATTGAGTTCTTTGTGGTTTTGCTATCAGGGTAATACTACCTTTCAAGAATAAAGTAGTGTTTCTCCCCTTATGTTTGATGAAATAATTTAGGAAGCTTGGTTGAGTTCAGTAGTGAATTCATCAAGTCCTAAGCTTTCCTCTTGGGGACAAAGTTTATTTATATCTTAGTTATGTTGTCCTTTTACATTGCTCACATTCCCTTGATTTATTTTTCTTCATCTGTTAATTTTATTGTGTTATTGAGAATTTTATACATGCATATAATGCATTTTAGTTAAGCCTACCTACCCTCCTTCCTTTCCTTCTAATTCTATCTCTCCATCACTTTTCCCTCTCCATTTCATGTGTTCTCTTTTATTTCTAACCTATAGAGTTTCCTTAATGCTGCCAGCCTATACATGGGTGCAGGGCCATTCCTACTGTGGCATGAATAGCCTCTCCTTGAAGAAAACTAATGCTTCCTCTCCAGCAGTCATCAATTGCTAATTAACTACTCAGGAGTGGGGCTTTGTGAACACCTCCCTCCATGCTGGGATGCTTGCCTGATTGAGCTTGTGTACGAAGTCACAGCTGTTGTCAGTTAACGTGTTCAACTGTCCCATTGTGTCCAGAACACACTCTTTGACTTTAATAATCCACTAGCTCTTACAGTTTTTCTGCTCCTTCCATAGTGATCCCTGGTCCCCTGAGAGAAGGGATTTGATATAGGTGTCCTGTTTAGGGCTGAGCCCTCCAAAATCTCTTATTTTCTGCATGCTGACCAGTTGTGAATCTGTTAATTGCCATCTACTGCAGAAAAACAAAACCAGTTTCATGATGAAGGTTGAGAGAGATACATATATCTGTGAGTGTTAAGATACCCAAAGGGGTTGGTTTTATCACGATGTCCTCTTAACAGAGTAATAGTAGATTAGTAGAAAGTTCTCCACAGTAAGGGTGCTGGGTATGAGTTCCATCTTGTGGAGTGTGTGGAATGGGCCTTAAGCCCAGTCAAAAAGTAGCTGGTTGTTCCCACAACATTCATGCCATACCCATGGTGGTATCTTGTCAGACTGATGGTCATTTGTAGATCAGAGGGGTCTCAGCTGGTTACACTTGCTGTATAGTCTTCACCCCTGGTAGTAGGTACGGTACCTTCCAGTACCATGAAAGCTAGCCCGTAGTGAGAGATCTAACTACACACCTGTGGCACTGACCATGCATGCCAGTTGGGGCATGGTCACAGGTGCGTATGTGATCGTGTGGGATTTGGTCTGGGGTCCGGGACAGGCTTGCTCTCTCTCAGTTACAGTCAGGTCATGGAGAGCAGTAGGGCATTGATCCTGGGTTATTGGTTTCTCATGTAAGTGACTTCTCCTTGAATAAAATTGCCAATAGGATGAAGCATCTAGGTTAGTGTAAGCTTGATTTCTTCATGTTCTGTGACTCTGGATGTGGTGTCTTCAGTAATAGGTTTTACCATCAAGTTCTGTGTGGTAACCAAGGACAATAGCAATAGCCTATAATATTGGGGGGCATCTATAGGACTCCATTTCTTGACTTAATATTTCATAAGTGTCTTGAAATTATTATTCTTGATTTTCCAGTTTATTGTGATAGAAGTTTTCAAAGTATCCTCAAATCATTATCTGGATTTTATTTACTGTGTATTATAGTGTCTCTCTTTCCAACTCTAACTTTATTCATATGAATAAAATGTAAGATAATAAAAAATGAAGTACTTAAAGTTTTGTAAATATTATGACTGCCTGAAAGTTGTGTAGGGAGCAGCTATAGGGTTGAATTTCTTTTTTTGAGTGACCACCCTTTCTCAGTGTACTTTTTGGTGATGCAACTGACTTTGAGTCACCCGTATGCCTGTAAGTAATCCCTCATTCATACTCCTGTAAGTAAATCTCAATAAAATCATTGTTCTCCAAGTTGGTCTTTGGTGGGGTCATTGCTTTGGTGTGACGCTGGATTCTTACCCATACTAAGTGACCATTTGTTCATGCCTGCCCTGGAACTGCCATTATTGTGTTCTCTAATAATGGAATCTTCTAAGGAGGAATAAGCAGGAGCCTCTAGCCATTCTGTCTTTTAAAGCTGTTGCATGGCAGCTGAGGACTACCCGCCAAAAGTTAGCTGATTCAAAGCGTAAAGACACTTGCTGTGAGGCCTGAAGACCTGTTTGATCTCTGGGAGCCACACTGTGGAAGGAAACACCCACCTCCTGCAAGCTGTCCTTTAACCCACCTCCATTCACACAAATAATGGTGTGACTGGTGTTCAAAAGTCAGCTCAGCCTAGGAGCATCTTCATTTTAGAGGTTTCCCTTTTCGTGTTCAGAGCTGCTGTCAGGCCAGACTTCATATGTCCCAGCATCCGGGTACACCCCAGTGTTTCGGTGAGTGAAAAAGTCAGCTGAGACTGACATATGCCACAGAGGAGGCAAACAGGGAACCTAGCATTCTGCCTGCCAACCTCGGTGCTGCTGCTCCTCCTCGTCCTCCTCCTCGTCCTTGTCCTCCTAGTCTTCCTCGTCCTCCTAGTCCTCCTCCTCCTCGTCCTTGTCCTCCTCCTCTTCCTCCTAGTCCTCCTCCTCCTCGTCCTTGTCCTCCTCCTCTTCCTCCTAGTCCTCCTCCTCCTCCTCCTCCTAATCCTCCTCCTCCTTGTTCTCCTCCTCTTCCTCCTCGTCCTTGTCCTCGTCCTCATCCTCCTCCTCTAGGGTTTCTTTGTATAACAGCCCTGGCTGTACTGGAACCTGATATGTAGACCAAATTGGCCTTGAACTCACAGAGATCTGCCTGGCTGACCTCTGTGCTTTTTAAAAAGCACTTTTACTATTAAAGCTAATGAGCACAGAGAAGATGGGAAACTGACCATCCTCAGGATGTGGGCTCAGGTTTTAGTCTCAGTCACAAACTGTGTGTGCCAGAAGGGCAGCTTCAGAGGGGTCAGTACTCTCTGGCTGCAGGCTGGATTTATAAACTCTCACAGTAATACTCAGGCCAACTCATCCGTAGTCCATGAGTCCCTTCTCAAAGTGGGAAAACTAATACATAACAGCCCTACCATCAAGCCTGATGGACATGTGCACACACACTAAATAAAACATAATTTAAAAGAAAAATTCATCCTTGTTTATATGAGTCAGTCCATTCAGACTTATGTCTCTTTGTTCCTACTGTTTAGGAAGTCTGTCTTAAGGGAGAATGGGTAGTTCTGTTTCTCAGTTTCTTCACTCCAGATTGGTTCAATTTGATCCTGTCTGTCCCAGAATGTGAGAGGCTTATTCACTATGGAAAGTTCTCCCCCATTAGAACAGGTCACAAGAGATCTAAGTAAATTGCTAAACAGTTCTTTTTAAAAATATTTATTTGTTTTTATTTTATGTGCACATCTCTCTGTTTGAGGGTATTGGATCCCTTGGAATCGAATTACAGACAGTTGTGAGCTTCCATGTGAGTTCTGGGAATTGAACCCAGGTCCTCTGGAAGAATAGCCAATACTCTTAACCACCAAGTCATTTCTCTAACCCTACCAAACAGTTTTATAGCAGATAAAACATTAAGCTGGATGGTGGTGGTGAATGTTTTTAATCCTAGCACTTGGGAGACAGAAACAGACACAGGTGCATCTGTGTGAGTTTGAGGCCAGCCTAGTCTACAGAGCAAATTCCAGGATATCCAGGCCTACACAGAGAAACTGTGTCTTGAAAAAGAAAAACAAGAAAAATTTAAAGGACAGACATTGGCAGATGTTCTTCTGTGTATGTATATATATATATATATTTCTCTTATTGGTTGATGAATAAAACCCTGTTTAGCCAATAGAGGCAGAAAGATAGGTGGGGCTAGGAGATGAGGAGAATTCTGGGGGAGAGAGGCAGAGAGGCACCTCGAATGGACGCCATGTAGCTGATAGGGAAGATAGGATGCTCCAGGTGTTCTCTGGTAAGATAAGGCCACATAGAAATACATAGATTAGTAGTCATGGGTTAATAATTAAGAGAGAGACTAGCCAGTAAAAAGCCCTAGCCATCTGCCAGCAGTTTTATAGCTAATTAGTGTCTGTGTTTATTTGTCACTAAAGTGACTGTGGGCTAGACAGGATCAGGCTGGAAAAGAAACTCAAGTTACACTGTTCAAGTTTTCTGGCTTTGCCCTTCACTAATAAATTAAATATATATATATTACATAATTATGTATATAGTTGGTATGTATGTTTGCCATGACATTTGTGTGGAATTGTTTTCATCTTCCACAAGTACGTGGCTCTGGGAATTTAACTCAGGTTTTCAAACTTGACATGGAGAGTGACTTGACAAGTGGTATCTCATTGGCTCCCTTCACCTTCTTTTAAAAACTTTCAGATTTTCGCATAACATCTGATTTTTAATACTATGTTTTAACTTGATGGTTCTTTTTTGTAAATAGTTTATTAAAAGTCAGATCTGGTTGTTTCTTTTTTTTATTGGCATATTGGGGCTAGGGACCAAACTTTTAATCTGCCATGATTATCAGCATCATGATGTCCCACTTTATATTCTAGTTACATTATGAGCTAAAAGGAATGTGGACTAATTGTTTTAGGCTAATTATTATTATTATTATTATTTTAAGACAGTCTCACTATATAGCTGTGACTGTTCTGGAAATCAATTTGCCAGAGCACTTACTACTTTTTGTTATTGTAAAGGATCTGTGGGTTCCCAGCACCCACATGACTTATAACACCCATCTATAACTCCAGTTCCAGAGGATCTGATACCTTTTGGCCTCCACAGACTCTTCACACACATGGTGAACAGACACACATGCAGACAAAAATACCCAGAAACATAAAATGTCAAAATCAAATTACACTTATAAAATAACAGAAAAAAGTTAAGATTTTTCTGTCTATATATTGTTAGACTATAAAACTTTATCTGCTACACTGCTCAAAATTTTATTGTCACTTGTTTTTCTGTTTTTGTTTTGGATTTTTGTTTGGAGGGTTCTTTTGTTGTTGGTGGCAGTGGTTTTTTTGTTTTGTTTTATTTTTAGATTCTTTTACGTATTTTTTTTCTCTTTGTCTCACAAAAGACTTACCACAGGCCCACCTTATATATACACCCACATACATGGGACCCACAATTCTCTTGTCTTTGTCTTGAGGATGTGGGTTTTACTTTTGTGCTTTGCTTTACCTAGAAACATTTGAATATTTTTTTCTGTTTTAAGGTATACTTTGAATGTTGTCCATGGAGAGAAATATAATAGATATTTCCAACTACAGACCAGTTTATTGTTGCCTCAAGTGCTTTAGATACTGTGATTTCTGGCTCTAAGTCATCTCTTCTTTATTGTTTCACTTTTCTGTTTCAAGATACTCAGTTGAAGATTGATTTCCCTTTTGAATTATTTTCATTCTGTGTCAATTATTTAGTGTCTTGGTTAAGAGTTTTTAGACATCGTAATATATTTTTGAATTTGTATTACATTATAATTTATTAATTATGAGTTTATGTAGGTCAGAGGACAACTTGTGGGAGTTAGTTTTTTCCTTTCACCCTGTGGGACCTGAGAATCAAACTCAAGTGCCAAAGCTTTGGCACTGCCTTTACCTCTGAGCCATCTCACTGGTCTGGAAAAATGTAGCTTTAAGTCTTTATATTAGACAAGTTATCACTTTTTTATTGAAAACATTGGTTAATGTTTATTACAGCTACTTTGGTAAAATAAATTTATCACTTGTCTTACTGGTTTCCTGCTGCTGTGGTAAACACCCTGACAATTAAAACTTAAGGGAGAAAGGGTTTTGCTGGAATTTTTTAAGAGCAGCATGAGAAAGACACCATGCAACAGAGTTCAAGCAGGGGGGTTTTTTATTAGGGGAAATGGATCATAAAAAGGGGAGAGGGGAGGGGAGTGGGGAGACTGGTCTCTGGGGACAGGAGCAGTGGGAGAAAGGGAGAGGGAGGGGGAGAGAGAGAGAGAGAGAGAGAGAGAGAGAGAGAGAGAGAGAGAGAGAGAGAGAGAGAGAGAGAGAGAGAAAGGGAGGGAAGGAGGGAGGAAGGGAGGGAGGGAGGGAGGAGGTGGCCAGGGCCCTTTTAAAAGGGGACATAGTGAATGTGCACAGGTGGTGCTCTTAGTGGCTGTAGCTGAGGGTGTATCCTGTCAGAATTCCAAGGGCAGAACAGTACAAATTCCTAAATACTAACATTCCTCCTTTGTTATTTATTATAAAAAGATGAGGCATTAGAAAGGAGTAGCAGGTGAGGAAGGGATGAGGATGTCATGTTCTCAAAACTACTTCCTGCTGACCTGGGGAACATCATTCCTGTTTCGGGACTTGGGAAAGCTGGAATGCTAGCCATGTCCTAGAGTAGCTGGCTGTTTCACTTCACTGTCCAGGCTCTGTGGAACCATTAGGTGCCATCCGGATCTGGCAAAATGCAGTTCAAAGTGGATCCAAGTCGACTCCTTAGGGCTTAAAGCACCTGATCCTTCCCACCACCACAGCATCACTGGGCATGTTTGGTGGTCTTGTGCCTTCAGCTCTATGGTCAACACCTGGTATTCCTGCAACAACAGCTGATTAGGAATGGTCAGTAGGACTCCAAAAAACATCCCAATGGGAGCAAGGAGATATAGACGATGACACAGCTTCCATGAGTGAGGCAGAGAAGTAAGACCCAAAGGTCTGCAATTCCTAGCGTCCCAGGAATTCAGAGAGGGCGGATTTCAAGACAGGCACAAGCTGCTCAGTGATTCACCAAGCACAGAGAAGAGGTCAAGGGCTCCGAGCCCAAGAGAGACACCGTTTCCTGGTACTAGGACTTCTAGAAAAACCAGGAGGCGAGGAGAAGACTGTGCTCGAGAAATAAAGCCTCACATCCAGGGGAATGGTCAGAGATGGGTAGCCCCATCAGAGACCCAATTGCCAATATTGA